ATATATATATATATATAAAATGTACCAATAAAAAATGTTTAAAAAAGAAACGCTCTGCATCCTGATGGTTTTCACGGATTTAACCATCTTAGGACTTCTTGGGGTCAAGAGTTCTGGTGCTTGGAAGGAGGAAAGGAGACAAGCCACCCTCCTATTCTCTTATCATGTAACACATGGGGTGCTGACTTTGTATCAGCACTGAAGTACTGTTAATTTTGCATTATAGTGTCTAAGTTATAGTATCAGGAGAAGACTCACCATCGTTCTAGGACTTTACCTTGTCTTTTTGTTTTAGAAGGAGTTTATGTGCACTGATTGTAGGCAAGAAAGTTGGATTAGACTAGGCAAAAGTCTGACCGTATTACTGCCTTCCTGTGGTCATTAACCGTTACAGCGTGTGTCCAGATGTCGCCCCAAAGTCTCACGTGTTCATAGGAGGGGCTTTTCAGAGGTGGCTGGATAAAGGCTGTGTGATCTGGGATCGAGGATGTGCTGGGAGTGGTTCACAGTGTGGCTAGGACAAAGGCTGCCCCACCCTGGGTGTGAGCGCTGCACCCTAGGGGTGTGTGGCCTGGATAAGATAAAAGGGACAGAAAGAGGGTCGCCGCTGTCACGTGCTGCTCCTTCACTACTTCACCGCTTTGCTGCCTTCCGCCCACCCTGAGCTGCGTCTCCCTGTGCAGCCCCTCCGCCACAACATCCCGCTTGGAGCCCTTTGGTTAGGACTGAAACCTCCACAAGCTGTGAGCTAACTAAACCTTTCCTCCCTCAGCCTTGGGTGCTGTGTATTTTGTCTCAGCAACGAGAAAAGTAACCAAGACACTAAGTCTGGTTTCAGGAGCTGTAAATGGGCACCAATTAGACAACGTTTGGACTTCTGATGCTTCGTTTTAGAAGTCAGCTTGATTTGGATAAAGGATAACCAGAAACTTGTTAAAGGGTTATTCCTGGTCGTGTGGATGAAGGTGTCTCTGGAAGAGATTAGCAGTCAAATCAGTACAATGAGAAAAGGGGGTGCACCCTCACCAGTGTGGGTGGATAGCAGCCAGTCCACTGCGGGCCTCAGCAGCAGGAAGAGGCGGAGGAAGAGCCGGACATCTGTCCTCTCCTCCCCTCAGACATCGGAGCTCCCAGTTCTTGGGCCTTCAGACCCCAGGGCTTATCCCAGCCTGCCCCTCACCCGCTCCCAGCAGACTGGGCCAGCACGGTGCTGAGATTTCTTGGCCTCCATAATTGTGTGAGTCGATTCTCAGAATGTGTGTGTGTGTGTATGTGTGTGTGTGTGTGTGTGTGTGTGATCCTATGGGTTTTGTTTCTCGGTAGAACCCTAACTAACACAGCAACCTCTAGGCCTATTTTGCCAGGTGTTAGGTGGGGCTCCGGCCAAGCAGAGTACTTGTCCCTGCCCTCCTCTTCCACAAGGCAGGCAGCAGCTGTCAGGCCACGGCCCCGACGCGTTCCACCCCGCACCTGCACTCCGGCCCGGGCAGCTTCCTGGGATCTCCTCCTCCTGCTGAAGGCCCCGAGGACTCCAAGGGTGCATTCCTGTCCGTGCTGCCACCCCGGGGTCCATTCTGGGCACTTTTCGTCCTACAAAATAGAATTCTCCTCAGTGATCTTCCAAGGTAACTTATCACAGAAAAGCCAGCGTTATGAAATGGGAAGTCTCAAAGTTCTGACACAGCAGCCCGGGGCACGGCGCCCACATCGTGAGCTGGCGGGGGGGAGGGGGGGGCAGCTGCACGAGACTCTGCCTTCCCTCTGGTCTCCTGAGCCGTGGCTTCCAGCACACGCACCGCCCTTCTCCTCTCCCACCGCAGAGAGCCGTGGTTCAGTGGAACCTTCCTTGAGCAACGCCTTTTCATAGTGACACTCATGAGCACACTCACAACAGTAGCCTTCCAACATTTGCAAATTGGTTTACAAATGAACAAAAATTATAGATAAGAAAAGCACTTTTTCATTAATTGAGTGAAGTCATATTTAAGTTTTAACACAACTCTCCATCCTGCTGTAATTTGTTCTGTAACTTTAGGAATTAATTCACCGATTTTGCAAAATTTTATACGTAACAGAGTTTATAAAGATATCCCTTACGAACCGAGTAAACTTAAAACGACTTTCAGTGCCAGGGGTAGGTAAGTCAAAGTCACGGAGACCTGTAATTGAGTGAGGTCTGGAGAGCACCTCACTGCGGGTGTGAACACACACTGAATGCCCAAGCAGATTAACGACCACAGAGCTACTTTATCAAATTTTCAAGGAAAACAGTCCCCCTCAGAACCTCTTCACAACTGAAGTTAAATTATGCAGTGACTTGACTTTAATACATTTTATATCAATCCGGAATCATTGAGATTACTGAAAACATAGAAAGGTACATTGTCAGGAGGCTGATACAGAAGGATCACAGGTTCAAGCCAGCTCTGCCTACGTAGAAAAACCTCGTATCAAACAAACCAAAGCACTGTGCTGTCAGGAGGCCTGGCCAGGAGAGACGACTGCAGACTTCCTGAAGAGGCAGGGTGGGTGGGACGTGCAACCCGCGTGCTGAGGTCTGGTCTAATGCACACTCCCTCCAAAGTGCCGGGGAATAGCAGGGTAGGATCTGTGGACAACAAACGGGAGGGAATGCCATAACACGCTGTTCGGGACTTGGGGAGACAGGATCTGGGGTTCTGGGTGTGAGACAAATTCACAGATTTTCTCAGTATGATGTTTTGTTGTCAGTGTCCCTCGTGGTCTCCTGAGCTGTGGCTTCCAGCACACGCCCCGCCCTTCTCCTCCCCACACTGTAAAGAACTGCGGTTTAGCGGAACCGTTCCTGAGCACTGGAGCCTCAAGGAAAACAAGAAAGAGGAAAGAGAAAATTAGAAAGAGAAGAAATAAGTAGAGCAGTTCTGCTCCACACCAAGGAGCTTGTTCTCTTTGTGAATATGCAGGACATCGGTGGGTCCCCAAGGAAGGAATTCGGACCCTAGGAGACGCAGTAGATAACACAAGTATCTTTAGTTGCGCTGTCATAGCTGCCTGGGTGTCCTGAGTTGGTTCAGAATGATTCTTTCCTGGTTATTTTGACTTGGAAAAGGAACCAGAGTCACCTGGTGCCAGATTCAGTCAGTGAGGCGGATGGGGACGCACAGCCTGCTTTTGCATTGGATGGTGGGCAGCTGTCACACTCTATTCCTGATTATCATTGTAAAGACCCTAAAAAGGAATTGGTAAGAACAGTGGGATGTGTGTCTGAAGAGAGGACAAGCATTTTGAGGGGAAGTAGTGGCGGTGTGTCCTTTACTGTAGTAAATTTTTAGCATTTACGCCTTCAAGATATTTTTTGGTCCTCCCCTATAGATGTCGCCAGCTCAGTTTCCTGCCCTGCCTTCCCGCTTGTGCTAAGGGATGATGTTTTACACTGGTTTCTGGACAGTTACTTACTGAGCTATGATTTTAAATGTCCAGTGAATTGTGATGCGCCAGCCACTGTGTGATCAGGAGCAGTCGAGATATTTTCATCTTCTCCAAAGGTTCTCTTGTGTCCCCACCTCTGCTCCAAGCAGCAATTCATCCACCTTCTGTCACTGGAGTTTTGTCAGTTTTAAGATCTTCCAGAAATGAAATAATATGACACAGAGACACACAGCTTTTAGTAGTTAGTTACCTCCTGGGCTCACCTGTCTCCTCCTGGGCTTATCTGTCCCCTCCCAGCTCCCTGCTGGTCGCAGCCCTGCTGACATACGACCTCCTTCCAGGTTAAGAATGAGCCCTGACTGTGCACCTAGAACAGAGCGGGTAGAGAGGCCTTGTATATTAGTCAGAAGGGAGTAAGACAAGACCTCCTGGGACAATTATAGGGCAACTGAACTCGAATGGTTCTTCACACTGGCTTTTCAAAGATCTTCCCAGCCAGGAATGAGGAGGGAGAGAAACGCCCAGTGCGGGTGTGGGAAACCCACCCGGACACGAGTGTTTCCAGGGGCAGAAAGGGCTCCACAAGCCGCACTCAGGACCCCAGTGCCTGTGTGTGTGAGAGAGGAGAGGCAGGGAGAAGTCCCAGCACATGAGCTGGGTTTGCCCATTTTCCCAAGATTTCGTGCTAACTTCAGTTCTCTTCAAGTAAAGCACTTTCTAAGAGAAGAGTTACCCTGGATGACAAGTGAGGTGCAAGTCTTCCTCAGGACGAAGTTCTGGAGGGGGCCGGGGAAACTGAGAAGGAGTGACATTGTCAGCTGAGGGACAGCACTGGGACACACAGGCCTGTGGCCAGGCCTGCCAAGATGAAGCTCCATGCTCAGGGCTCCCACCCGCTCCTCTGAAAGCAGAGAAGTGCCCTGGGCAGAGATGGGACAGCCCAGGAGGGTCCTTGAGGCATCACGCGAGGGCCGAGAGAGAAGGACCTCCGGACAAAGTGAGGTTGTTCTCACTCTCACGGATGCCCCTTCTCCCAAGGGGGGTCAGTACAGAGCAAAAAACTAAGGAGGTCGGCTTTGGTTTTGTTTTTATCTCCCCATAGAGGGAGGGGACAGAAAGCCACAGTGGGCCCTCTACGTCAGAAACTGCTAACTTATTCCTTGCGTATTCTCATCAAGTACAGAAAAACAAATCCTGAACTTCCCATTGTTGTTGTTTGTTTGAGGAGCGAAGAGTTGCTATGGAAATGAAAATAAAAGGGACTTTCAAAAAATAAAGGTGGCAGAGTAAAGAAAGGATGAGAAAGCTACCCGTTTACCAACAAAGGTAACCAACTTACATCCAGTGTACGCTGGTTCTCTGGCACCTTTTGGTCAAATCAATTCTATGGGGTTAAATGACGAATAATAGAATTTGTAGATCCAACTAAAGAAGATGAAGCCTTTTCCAGGATCATTACAGGAACAAAGGGTGTGTAAGAGAGAGCCATCGTAAGTCACAAAGGGAGACCCCTGGGACAGTGAAGAGCGTTCGTGGGTGAGCCGGAAAGGGGTAGGGAGTCCGAACGTCCGCTGACACTGTTTGTTTCATGGGAACTGTAATTAATTGCAAAGGTGAGTGTTCTTGTGCTTAGAATAATCTTCTTTACTGTTTTCTGCTATGTAAAATGGTAAGCCTCCTTACCAAACTCTCTTTTGTGGACAAATTCATGAGATTCAGAGCTCTAAAATATAAAATTTCTCTCTAATATTTTGCTTCCACAGAAAGGAAATATTTCTTATTTGGCCCCTTCTTGCCTGGCACAGATCCCTTACTCCTGTCGAACAGCACCTGAGCACAAGTCATACATCACAAGAGAAAAAGAACACTGACGCTGTTCCGTCTCCGCATTTGAACCGCTGTTAACGCAAGCGATGAAAAGGGAATTGTCTTCCCCAGCTAGCTCAGTGCAAAGGTAAACTTTCCCCAGGCAGCGCAGCAGATCGCTCACGTGGGACTCCTCTGCTGTCATCCTGTTTACTGCCTGGAACACACAGGTCATTTCTTCACCTTCACCTTTACTGCTTTTAATGCACCAGGTCCAAATGCAAAACATAATCACATTTTTTCACTGATGCTGACAGGCGGGAAACAAGTAACGAAACACTAGTGAAATTTTCTCAGTCTAATATTTTATGCGGGTAGACAGGAACACGAAATTTTTTTTTTTTTTAAAGAATAAAAGAAGGATAACATAATAACAAGGGGGACGTAGCAAATTACAGACAAAATGGTAGGAAATTATCAATGGTTA